ACTCATGTCATGGACTACAGAAGCAGCATTGTTTGCAGAAAAGTGCTCTGTGCTAAGGTTTTCTGTTATTCTGCATAGCGAGAGAAGAGTGGGGTACCCTGAGACCCTAAAAAACCCTGTAACAATATTGTTGATGGTATTGATCTAGTTCAACAAATTAAGATAAGAGCACTTATGTTTTAAAATTTGGGGTTTTTTTAATGGTGTGAAAAAGATTGTTACTTTTAGCCTGATAGCTGTATTCTTTTTCACCTTCAAGCTCTTCTGCAGCTCTGAAGAGAGTAGAACAGTGTGTTAAAGTGATGTACAGGCTGTCTGTTCTGCCTGCAATCCCAATCCATAAGATCCTGAGTCCAGTTCCCAAATCCAGCTGCTGAGTCTGGTTCCTGTCTGCTGCTGGATGCAGTCCAGTGCCTGCCCTGTCACACCAGGGCTGGTTCACTGGGGGAGGTTTGATACCGGTTCTGTATGTATTTCATTATTGGTACTATTATGGTTTCATTGAAGCTGTTTTAGTTTTCCAATCCATAAGTGTCTCTGCCTTATTCCCATTTCCTTTCCCATTTGAGAGGGGAGAGGGGTTATCAGAGAGCATCTGCCACTTGTTTAGTGGCCACTGCAGCCCCTACCCGTGACCAGGCTGCAAACACCTTTGTCCTTCTGCCCCCCTGGTCTTGTGCGTCCTTCCCATGTGTAATGACCATCACATGGTGTGCTCTGCAGGCAGCCGGTCAGATCCACGCATGCAGTACAGCCAGTGGGTGTTTTTGCCCAATTATTTTGTTGCCGGTGACCGAAAGCAGAGTTCTCTGACCCACTCAATACAGATGAAGTGAGGGAGGTTGCTGTACTCAGATGTTGCCAGTGCAAGTGCTTTGTTAGTGTGTCACAATGTGAAACTTGTGTTGCCGCGGGAACTTGAACCCTCTGGTGTCCTCTCTAGGGACACAGTCAGTGTGGAGCACCCTGACAGCCCAGGGTTCATTCTGTACAAAAATCTTGCATGCGCCAAGACCAGCTTCCTTATTTTGTATTTGGAAAGTTATGACTTTTTCCAAATAAATTTTGCCATCTTGGTATTCATAGTTAGAATCCTTCTGCAGTTTAGCTTCTCTTGGGCAGAGAGAAGTAGAGGTGGGAGAGAGAAAATCCAGAATTTAGACTTTCTGTGATGCAGTCCGTGGGTGAGCTTAAGACACACTCTGGTATTAAGATCAAGCCAGGTGGCACAGTGCTCAGCGACTGCGTTGGTGTAACAAGGTGACACTAAAACAGTATTGGTATCTCAGGAGTATAGACTTAAAGATGTTCAGCGATAGTATGAGCCAAATGATCAGTGTTCACAGAACTGTATTAGTAGGCACAGGAAGGGCTAAAGGAAGCTATTACCTGTCTGGTACACTTTGCAGAACTCGTATAACTTTGAGAAAGCTCTAGTAATGAGACTCTGCTCCTTTTTTTCCCCTTCCCACTCCTCAGAGGAACCATTTTCATAGATTTCAGTCAGCTGAAATGCCAGGGGTCCTAGAGCTACATCCAAAATTACACAGGTGTGTGTCTGGATGATTGGAGAGGAGGAATAGCTTGGGCTGGAGTTGCTGCTGTTTCCCAAGGCTGGGCTGAGCCACGGTTGTGGCTGCAGCCATTGGAAACCTCTTAATCTATGCTTCTGTCTTCCTGCAGGCTGCTCTGTGGAATTTCTTTTCAGATGTCTCCTCAGTGCAGACGGTGTTGAGGTTGTCAGGCAGAAGATCAAGTGCTTTCCCTGGTGCGTGTGACCAGCTGTTGCCGCGGTCAGGTGGCACTGGCCATGGCCGACGTGTGTGACCCCGCGTTGCCCTGTCCCAGCAGGCAGATGTCAGCTCCCTGCGTGCTGGCCTGTTTGCATATTGACATTTCAGTGCCTGCAGAATGTGAATAAATACTCTGTGCTGCAATCATGAGTTAATCTGTATCTATTGCGGTGATTACTTAAAAGATTTCAGTGCAATCAGTCTGCGAAGTATCGCTGGCAGGTTGCTCACTTGAGTTCTCTGCTGTTGCGCTTCTTTTATAACTTTCTATCTGGAAATCGTAGTTGCTACGAGTGCGACTTCTTGGCCCCAATGAAATATACTGTGGCAATGCTGCAAATTGTTATTTTTTCCGGATACTTTGCCTCTTCGCAGGGATTTCTGAATGGCCTATAAGGTTGCAGCAGAGCTCCTATCAGTATGACAAGGCAGGGAAAGATAACATGTGTTTAGGTCTTGGTCACCCAAGTGTGACTCAGTGATGAAAGCAGATTTGTGCTGAGGTGTCTCAATCTGTGAACTAAACAAGCTGTGCTCAGGGAAGAGGGTGATGTATGGCAAAGAAATGGCAGCAAGTAGGTAATGTGCCACAGCATCCTGCATTGTTGCTGTGGTTTGCCCAGACACTGATGTGGATGGGAAATAACTGCGATTTATACTTGGATGAGAGTGTGAACTGAGTGCAGTGAACTGGTTGTGGTCATATCAAATTAATGATCTCCTGCTTGTCTGTCAGGGGATATTCCAGCATTTTCTATCTTCAGCTGCCATTAGGCAGTCCCATGAGAAGCGAGTATGCATAAGATAACAGTTCTCAGCTTGGAAGGCAGAAAGTGAGGCTCATCAGGAGCAGCTGCAGGGAGGGTGTCGTGGGTCAGAACGAGGCCGGCCGCTAAATGTGGGCAGACACTCTCTGAGCCGCTTTTCCCCTCTAAACGGAAAGGAAAAGGGTGTGAGGCAGAGGGACTTATGGATGGGGAAAAAGAAGATTAAAACAGCTTTAATGAATATGGAAATAGTAAAAATAGTGAACTATATACATATATATAAACCTAGTATCGAACCTGATTCGCCCTCCCCAATGATATCAATCCCCACTGATGCTGCAGAGCGGGTGGCACGGGGGCAGCCCCAGGCTCAGCCGCAGAGAGGAGCTGGATTCAGGAGCTGGATTCGGGATTTAGGAATGAGATCAAAGGCAGAAGATCAGATGGAGTCCTCTCTGGATGCAGGCCATTGAAGAAAAGAGAACTAAACCCTTGTGATCATTCAGTTTGTATTGAATATGACATACATGGGGTGGAACACTCTTGTTGGTCACTTGTCCTGTCTGTTCCTCCCAGGAGGTGCCAGCTTTTACTTCTTTGTGACCCTTTTACTTCCCGGCCCCCCCAGCGTGGCACACAGGAGCCAGCAGTGACCTTGGTCACTACAGGAGCAATTACAAGCACGAGCCTTTCTGCATCCCAGTCCCAGGCAGTAACTGCAAACATCAGGTGTTATCACTGCTGGTAGCAGGCACTGTCTGCAAAAACACGCTGCGAACTGCAGAAAGTGCAGCCTCTTGCAGAGAACTGAGCTGAGAAGTAAAATCTCTGAACTGAATTGATTCTCTTTAGCTCAAAGCAGGACAGAGAGGAAGGAAGCAGCTTATTTTGATCATGCTAAATCGTAGGAGCACTGAGTTTATTTAAAAGAGGAATAACTGAGCAGTTCATGCCGTTAAAAGAAAACGACACCTGAAACTTGATGGGCTGGTGTGCAGGATGGGTATCTGCACAGCTGGGAAGAGGAACATTGGAAAATAACCTGTACATGGGAACATGGGAGGTATATGTGTGAGATTGGGATGGTTTTTACAGTCTGTTAATTTGCCTGCCTTTCTGTCTTCCCTGGGTATTCAGGTTTTTTTATTTAGAAACTTCCATTGTTTTGTTTGGCAGAATTCCGGATATTTTAATTTCTTTTACGGTGTTTTGCTGCTTAAACCCTGGACCTTCCTTTGTTGCCGTTGCTGTCTTTTCCATCTCAGTCTGACCTCTAATTTGGTTGTTGTCTTCAAATCACATTAAATGTGATTTGTGCTGGAATACTTCAAAAATCCCTATAGAGGTATTCCACATAATAGCATTCCCTGAATAGTCAATGAGACTGACAGTTGAAATAAATTAATTAACTCTTTGGCCTTGCAGTAGCAGTTTTTAAGGAATACTGACTTTGTGCATCCCTTTGCACCCAATGTTCTGCCAGGCCTGTCAAGGGACGTGCATCTTACACCTCATTATTTGAGGTATTTTTGTCTGAAATACTGAGGCAAGGGAAAAATAACATTACTTGAATGAAGACAGGGACAGTGCTGTGTGAAAGCACTAACAGATCTGGAAATCGGGCCTGTGATTATCTCTCTTCTGAACAATTTTAATCATGACTGAGACTGTTGTCAGGTACTGGAGAGACTTATCCTCACTGTTAACTTGTGATCTTGCTCCTTGGCATTGCTGGCCTAAGCCAAAAAAGAGCCCTGGGCAGAGTTCAGGTGTTAGGAGTGTCACAGGAATTGTTCCATTAATCGGTCTGCATGCAGTTCATCTATTCTGCAGATTGAGACATGTTTCTAGAGGGAATTTAGGCCCCTAGAACCCACTGGAGTGCTTTATGCAGCAAACCATCAGGATAGCCACAATAAAAGAAAAAGATCTCAAACTGAAATGGTCTTTACAATAGACTCTACTGGATTTTTTAAAATTTTTTTTTGTGGTGACCCTAACAAATCTTTTTGAAATCAGGAGGGTTCCTTGTGTCTCTTATAGTCCGCATCTGTAAAATTAGTCTGTTATCATTTACTGACTCAAGTAAAACTTCTTTTTTGGTTTAGTTGCATTGTTTTTAGTTTTGAATGCAATTCCCTGTCTGTTTAGCTTTAGGCCAGTGCCCCCTAAGGAATGGGACCACGTCGGTGGTTGGTGGATCCAAAGGGCACATATCTGGAAGCAGCATAAAGACAATTGTGCAGACATTGAACTTCCTTTGCAGACCACTGGCGTCTCCACGTTTTTCACAATGCTCTTATCTCTCTGCAGATATTTTACCTCTGAGGATGTGTTATAGGTAGATTTGCAGGGGAAGAGGCATGTGTGGCACAGATTGTGCTTTGTGTGCAGGACAGGTGTCGTGACAATGGCTTTGATTTTTCTTTTGTGTTGTAGGGACACCAAGGGTCTTGAATAACCATGAGCAACCCTTTTGTACGGATTGTAGAGCCACTGGACCCTAAGCAGCCTCAGAAGAAGTTCTTTAACCTGAGTAAATTGGAAGATGTGCGATATGGTACGGTGACAACTCAAGGAAACTGTTTCACTGACATTGAACAGAACCTGCAGAAGCATTGGGACATTGGGTGGTATTTGGTCACTGGAGAGAACTATGAATTCAAAAGATGGTTCTTGAAAACAAAATTTTAGCAAGATCTGCTTCTGAAAATTTAGACCCACAGAAATTTTGGCAGGATCACAGTCATATTTTCTCCACATGGTGTGTACACAGCAGTCTCATTTTTCTTCAGTGGATGAGCAGTTGGAACTAGGACCACAAGTTTTCTCACACATTGCTGTGCTGCTGTGAAAGGATGAAAAGGACCTAACGCTGTGACATAACTGAATCATCCAGACAATATTCAGCTTTAAAAAGAGTAGTGACTATAAAATCCTTTCTGAGGAGGCTTTTTCATTAGTTCTTCTGACGCTCTGGATGTACTTAAACAGCTTCCATGTGGCACCAGTAATCTGACAATCCATGCCACTGACTCCAAAAGCGAGTAGCTGCAGCTTAGAGCTGTCTATGCTGGGTGTTTTTCCTCTTTCAGAAAGGAAACAGATGGTTAAGAAGAATTCAGGTAGCCAGAGGAGGAACATTTTCTCTGGATAACAGTGATGCATATCCATGGCAGGTTCAGATAGTGTGTAAGTGAGAAATCAATTATGTCAGACTTGGCATGTGAAAAGCACAGATGAGTCTTAAGAATTAGACAAATACATGGATGGTGTTACTAGTTGATCTCTTCCAGGATTCCAAGTGTGATAAACTTCAGAGTTTTAAATGAAAAAAGGGTTCAGTTCTAACCACCAGAAAAAAAATGGAATAATTTAGCAACACAAGAACAGGGCAGGGAGGGAGAACAGATTAAAAAAAATCCAAACCACCCCCCCCCCCAAAAAAAAATAACAACAACAAGATATCCCTAAATGGTTCTGAAGTACTGTGTCCTGATTCACAGCTGAGGGTTTTTTGGTGATAGCAGTAATAAGGTCTCACTGTGATTAAGTGACTTATGTCTCTTGGGGACTCTGTAGAAAGTATGTACTTCTCAAGAGATTTTTTCAGTGTAAATATTCCGAGAGGAAATCTAACAGCTATTACTACAGTGGGCCAGGAGAGGAATGACAGGGAAGCTTTAATTTTTTTTTTCTTCATACACATTGCTTGTCATAAAGCTGTCAGGACTGCTCTAATAATATATTGTGTCATATTCTATAAAGAAGATTAGCGACACAGTCTTACTGCTGTTCAGTTTCATTCTCCATCTTTAGAGGAGAAGAGACTGTCTAGACCCCTAGAGCTATGCTTTCCAAGACATCAGGTTGAAAATTATGCTTTTCTAGTGCATTCATATGTTGGTATTCAGTGTCAAGAGTGAGGGGAAACTGCAGAGAAACAAGATGAGTGCCGCGTGTGTCCGAAGTAATGTCTGCTGTCTCACAGGGACTGGGATAATAAATCTGCTTAAAGAGATGGATGGAGCAGGTCAGTTAGCACTGGCCTGCTGACAGAGCTGGAGGCTGGAAAAGGGTGCTGGGTAATTTGGGATAGAGCCTGGTGAGAGCACGAGGACAGCACTAGAGGACCCACCTGCCTCAGGTTTGGAACTCTGGGCTTACTGGCACGTGGCCTCAGGTAAAAACTGAATTTGTTTCTTGACTCTTACCCCTGCAGCACGCTTGCCGTTCTCTATTCGAGTCCTCTTGGAAGCAGCAGTCCGTAACTGCGATGAGTTCCTGGTGAAGAAGGGCGATGTTGAGAACATTCTCAACTGGAAGGTGATGCAGCACAAGAATGTTGAGGTGCCGTTTAAGCCTGCGAGAGTTATTCTGCAAGACTTCACGTGAGTCTGATGCTCTTCAAAGCCAGAAAGAGGGGCTCTTGAAAATGCAGCAAAGCTCAGCTTGTGGAGGAGGGGTGAGCTGAGGGAAAGAATAGCAGCGAGACACTGAAAAGACCTTTTTCATCTTTCCTGGCTGTCATGGTACAGGCAATGCTTGGAGAGGCCAAAAGTTACAATAAAAGCATTAAATGAAGTGCTTCTGGGATGGAGAAATAAACACCTTTACGAAACTCCTCGAAACTGTGGGAGAAACTGGGATGGATAAATTACACCCATGTGAGGGAGTTCAGAGGGTTTATTATTGTTGCTGTTTGTGGGGTGTGTGGTGGTGTCTTCCCCCACCCCCCCGGATCTCTTGTTTTTGATTTTCTGCCTTTTTCAATTCTCATTTATAATCCATGTCATTATTTTCTTACGAGTCAATATCATCCCAAATATATTTTTTAAGAATTACCTGCTATTGAAAAAATTAATGTCTACATTTTCCCAGAAATTAAGATTGCTGCCTAATGGACCTTGAAGACTGGGTGTTGTTATTGCAGTCAGTCCCCATGTGTCAGCAGGCAGTAGACACTTCTGGATGTGAAAAATCAATTTTCCAGTGAAACAGTAGCCTCTGACTGTTATTGTACAACATTTGGCTTGCAAGTCCACTGTCTTTTGTACCTTTGCCCTCTGCCAGTGTAAGAAAGCATCCTTCGTGCATGATAAGCCCCGTGCTGCCAAGATGTCTGGAGATTTTATTTCTCGGAGCAGTCAGGTGTCCCAGCTGTCATGCCTTCTGTTCTGCATTTTCCTAAAGGTTGTTCAGGTGATAGAGACCCAGTACAGCTCAGCTCCTGAAGACATCAGGAAAAACCGGCAGAGCCTCAATTGAAAAAAGTGCTGATTTCCTAGCTATTTTTTTACCTGCTAGCAATTGTTAACATTTGAAAAAGCTGGAGCACAAAGGAAGCCAAATTTTCAAGCAAACATGGTTCCTTTTACTACTGTGCTTCTTTCGTGCCCCCTGTTCTCCTGCGGAGTTTTGAAAATGTTCCTGTCAGCTTGCAGAGCAGCTGCATTTGTGAAAATGAGGTCTTGAACAGGGTCCTAAGTGGGATCTTTTGGAAAAGGTAGCATTGGCAAGTTTCCAGAAGCCATAAAGCAATTACATTCATGAGTCCTGGATTAGAATTACAGAAATTCTTAGGTCTGATCTAGAACAACATCTTATCTGCTGGACAACGTCAGTTATTCGTGACAAGGTTAGATAACGGAGACCTCTTTTTCTGTTCGTTTTTGTAAACACTCGGGATTTTCAAGCTAGAATTGTGTGGGAGTTACAAAGCCTTTTCTTTTCTTTTTGCATTGTTTCTGATATATTTCAAAGTAATCATAGCTTCCTTGGGCTGCCCTGGCAGAACCAGTGTGTTCTCAGTGGGTTGCAGAATGGTGCCAGAGCCTTACAAGCACTTCATAGAGATCTTTCTCTGTCTCAGCCGCCAGCAAAATCAAATGGGCTGGTGTGCAAGAGGTTTTCCCCAACGGATGGAAGAATGTCATGGTGTAGCGTGTACATCTGTGGAAGATGGACATGTATGTGCTGAGAAGCACCAGAGGCTTTATTAAAATAAATATGGAAATGTGTGTGGTAGGATGAGTATTGAAGTGGTTACTGCTCCCTGTTTGCTTGTGACTGAACTCGCGTTGGAAGTGCAGGATGGACAAAAGACCCACATGTGCATTGCTTTGGCCTCCTCTGTATTTGGCCTGCCTGACTTGGTAAGGAAGGCTTAATTTAGGAGCTAAAAATCATTTTGGATGAGTGAGACATACAGACTTTTTTTCTGAGTCTGTTGGAGTTCAAGGGCTTCCAGGATTGTCACAAGATACACAAGGTGGCAGAAATGTGGATGTTGATGTGTGGCTTGAAAATGTGCTGTTTGAGTGTCACTTATGACATAAGGATCTTTTGTCAGTGGTAAGCACAATAATTTGTTAGTGAAGATGAGTGGTACACCTTGTTTCTGCCTTTTGTGTTTGTTCAGTCATCTCCCAGGGCAGGTCGGTGCACTGCAGTTACTCTGCAAAGGTGGTTATTCCTTTGCAGTTTAGGAGATCTGATGCCCTGCTCTGCCAGTGTCACTGGAAGTGTGGAATGTACCAAACAGCCCGAGTTAACTGTTCTCCTGTGCTTTGAAAAACTTGGAAGAGATGACTCTAGCCTTAAAAATCAGACAAATAAACGCTGCAAAGAATCAAAGAAAGGTCATTGTTGTTTTCCCCCTCCTCCTTCTTTTTAAACAGATTGGGAAGGATCAGAGCAAAAGAAGAGAAACCAGTTCAAGGTCCCAGAGGAACGCTGACTGGGACTGAGTTTCCGCATTCGCAGCCAAGCGTGTTACACTGCTCTTGTTATTTGGTGAATTTTTGCTGTAGCTTTTCATTCTTACAGAGCTCAGGATACAGATACATTCTCTCCCTTCTGCTCCTCTGACTTTGTCTCCCCAAGGTCTCTGCTGTAGAGCAGTGGTCTCAGGGTTCAGGGTGGCTGCAGTTTGCTTTATGTGGGACGATCGGTGTCTGTTCTGTGCGTCAGGATCTTGGTCGTGCTTGTTTTGTTGTGGTTTTTTTTCCCAAATTGTTTCACCTTGCCTGTGCCTTCTCTGTTTCAGTGGGGTACCTGCTGTGGTTGACTTTGCTGCGATGCGTGATGCTGTGAAGAAACTTGGTGGGGACCCTGAAAAAATCAATCCCATCTGTCCTGCTGACCTAGTGATCGATCACTCCATCCAGGTTGATTTTAACAGGCGGTAAGGATGCAAAATAACTCTTGGTTATTAGTGGTAAAAAACAAGCTGGATCCAGTTGCTGATAATAAAGGTAGTTCCACTAGTGATATTCTTAGCACTTGGACTATAATATTCTAGACTCTAAGAAGTTGCTGTGAATTAGATGGAGTTTTGTTTTTTGTATGATGTATCTCTCAGCAGCACAAGCCTGGACTAAATGTTGATAGAAACAGGCTCTGTGCAGACCTGTGGTGATCATAATTTTCCATAATAATACTCCATTATTATTAGTTGCTCAGAAATAGCTTTTTCTACATGCAGTTTTTTGACCCTGCATGGCTTTTTGGAAAGGACACACAAGAATATCTCCTTTCTTCCTTATTTAAGAACAGATGCGAGCTGCTGCAGCCTGTTTCTGAGGAACTGTTTGCTAGCTCAGTGTCTCCAGGCAGAAGCACATGAAGTACTGGTTGATGTGGCCCCTATAGGCAGGAAAAATCCCGTAATGCTATTCAGTCCCCACCATGCTACAGAGAGATTAGCACTCGTTAGACCCTCAATGAAATACAAGAGCTCTGCGTAGGGTCCTTCTGCCCTCTGGTATTGAAACATGGCCCTGCTGAGTTACTCTTCCAAACAGATCCTGCAAGTAGAGGTTTCTCAGTGGTTTTCTTCTGTCTTTCAAATTCCTTGCTTGCTATTTATTGTCCTCTGTAGGAGATTTGAATTGGTCTGCTTCAGTTATGGCATTGCAAAGAAGAAAATTCACAGAAGGTAGAAATTAAAGGATGTGAAGGGCACTTTCTCGGTGCTGACGTTTAGAGGCTTCTTTAGAATAAAAGTAATGAACTGCTGAGCAGAAATGTATTGCGAAGCGTGCTTTGTAGAAGAATGTTCCTAGAGAGTTTTCAAATATGACTGTTTCCTACTTTTTTTTTAGCTGCAGATTAGTAATAATACAAATTCTCACTAATGCTGTTTCATAGTTGGCAGGGGAGAAAAATTTTGACATCTATAACTGTCAAAAATCAGCTCCCTGTAACTTTTTTCTAGAGATGCATAACACTAGGGAGTTTAAAAATAGATGCAAAATTAGTAATAATTATCTAAAGACTCATCTCTGGGGTAATGAGTGTTCTGGCACTGTGGGTTTCAGGCCTGCTGCATATATAATATGCAGATTAGCACTTGGATTTGAACCAGGCTTCAGGTCTTATCTTGTCAAGATTTCTTCAATCATTTTCACTGGTTGCCTGCAGCTCGCAGGTGCAGTGAGATTGAAAAGATGAGATTGATCAGCATTAACATGAGCTAATAACTCTTCTTCCAACCTTTGGGTATGTCTGACCAGACCCAAATTCCGGATGGATACTTCTGGTTCTGACAGCTGATGGTTTTCACTTGCAGATCAGACAGCTTGCAAAAAAACCAGGACCTGGAATTTGAGAGGAACAAAGAAAGGTTTGAATTCTTAAAGGTACTGAAAGAATTAATCCTGTTTGCATGGAGAAATGCGTAATGACCAAAAGTTCTTCTAGTGCTTGTCTGCACTGAAAATGTTTTATTCCCATTCCTTCTGTTTCAGTGGGGCTCTCAGGCTTTTAAAAACATGAGGATTGTTCCGCCAGGCTCTGGGATCATCCACCAAGTGAACTTGGAGTACTTGGCGAGAGTGGTGATGGACCAGGATGGCTACTACTACCCAGACAGCGTGGTGGGCACCGACTCACACACCACCATGATCGACGGCCTGGGGGTGCTCGGCTGGGGTATGTGCAGGAGCGGGTCACAAATGGTCCGTCAGCCCACTGAGCCATGTGTCAGGTGCTGCTGAGCTCACCCTGGCTGGCAGATCAGCCCTCACCCAGTTGCTCGCTTGCCCCTTTTGCCAGCAGGATGAGGGAAGTGGGTTGGAAGGGCAAATGCAAAAAAAAAAAATCACAGGACGAGGCAAAGACAGTTTAAGTAGGTGAAGGGAGTGGAGGGAAAGGAAACAAAAGCAAGTGATACAGAGAATCAGTCACCACCTCCCACCAGCACAGTAAAGCCCAGCCAGGATCTGGGCAGCAGCTACTTTGGAAAAATGCACTCTACCTCACAGTTTTAATGCTGAGCATGATGTTTTACAGCACAGGGTATCTCATTCAGTTTGGGCCAGCTGTTCTGGACGTGTCCCTCCCAGTGTCTCACCCACCCCAGCTGACTTGCTGTGGGGCACAGTGAGAAGCAGAGAAGACCCTGACGCTGTGCAGCGCTGCTTAGCGATAGCTAAAACATTGGCATGTTGTCAGCACTGGTGTGGTCGCAGATTGAAAACATGGCACTGTGTGGGATGCTGTGCAGAAAAATTATCCCTGTGCCAGGCAGACACAATGCACAGATCAACCCCAAGTTAAAAGAATCTGGTAGAGTCTCTTACAGTTATTTAAGACTTTGTAGTTAAGTTCCTTTTTCTGATAACAGCTTCAGATTGTTTCTGGTGTGTGTAGTGTTGTCTGAGGGTTTTTTATATATTTTCTATCCTGTATTTAAATCACAAGGAAACAGGCAGGGAGAATATTAAATAATACTTCTGGAAACGTCTTAGTTGTTTGGGAAGGCGAGGGAGTTGAAGCATCCATTTTTTCCATAGTCACCTGGCTACTTTCAGAGTGTTGCCTTATCAAAAAGTGCTGCAAATGACCTGTTAGACAGAAGATGCTGAAAGTTGGATCCAAGTGAGTTAAATATGACCAAAAAGGCCATTGTGGAAAAACAGCACTATTGAGTATGTTCTGATGTCAGTAGTTTGCAGAATACTTGGTACAGAAATACAAATAATTTCTTCTTTTGTTTGTAGTGGCAAACTGCAGAGTTTGAATTATTGACTAAATAAGTAGGTATGAAAATGAGAATACTTGCAGTGATCCCACACATGGTAGCGAAAACATCAGTGGAGCTTTTTGTCTTCCTGTGTTGTGATAATAAGAGTCCTAAATAGATATTGTACAAATGCAGAAGACATTGTGGGTTTACACAGCATTTGCTCACTGTTCATAAAGATGCTTTCAACTTCTCAGTACCACGCGTGACAGAGGCACAACATTGTGTTTTTAACACCCCACCTGTACTGCTGTAGCAATGTTAGTCGATTGAGACTTCCTGTCAAGAGTGGAGGAATTCCTGCTACTTTTGAAAACAAATACAAACAACCTCACTTTATTTACAACCATGACATGTTTGTGATGAGAGATGTCCCTTTTATTCTATATTTGAAAGCACTTTGTACATGGAACTGTCATTTAAATGGTGTTCTAACACAATAGCTGCTTGAAAGAGAGCTTCATTTTTCTCCAGAATGTGAAAAGTCTGTCTGGGCACAGTCTGTACCCCACGTGCTCCAAGTGCACACTCTTGGATCTAGTGTTTCTTGGTGGTGGCTGGTAATGCTGAACTTGATCCTGCCTGTCTGTGGTGACCTGCCAGTCACGTCAACTAATTGACTATTTAAATGATCCAGTGCCTAGTGAAAAGAATCACAGGAATTACCTTTTTTGATCAACGTAGAAACATATTTTTGCGTAAAATAAAGGGGAGATTATTTCTGCAGAACAATTCAGTGGGAAAAACGGTAGAACTGGTCTGGCATACAGAATTAACTGTTACAGGCAATTTGTTCTAGCTCTGTATGAATTAAACTAAACAAAAAGTAGAGGGTTTAAAAGTGGAAGATAAACAGCAGAGGGACTGTTGCCTAATGCCAAATTGCTAGTAAATATCATGTTTTTGTAGATTGCATATGGCATCTTGATACTTCACCTTACTAAACCAGCAGAATGAAGCGGTCACTGCAGGTGTCCTTACCAGTGAGGGTGTTCTTATACAGAGTTCCCATCTGCATGTGCGCAAGCCATATTGAGACTTAGTAGATGTAAGAAAGATATTTCTGTCTGAACAAGTAGCATTTTTGTCAGTTGCTTGACAGTCTTGACTCTAGTAATCTTTCCTTCCTTTAAAATAACTTTTAAGTTTGTTTGGTGACCAGTAGTCATGGTCCACATACATTTGACTCGCAGAACACCATGTCTGGTGCCACATCAATTGTTCTTTGTTTATGCATCACATGTTTAAATCATTAAACAAAACTTTTACATCAGTTATTATAGAAGCCAACCATCCTCAGAGTAAGTTACTCAGATTTACCTAATATCCTCTATAATGGCTGAGGAACCAGGATGAAAGTATGAAATAAAACAAAATTGAAGAGGCTCAACCTTGCAGAAGCTGAAGCGAGATGAGGAGTGCCTCTTAGCAGAAGGCTCAGCCCTCTGGCTGTCTGCTTTCTCTTTCACACCTTAAATCTAGTGATCACCAGTCAGTTGTACTTTATGGGTTTGTCTTTGTCAGTTTACTGTCTCAGAGTAGTTGGCTTGTCGTCTCCTGCTGTGTACAGGTGTCGGTGGCATTGAGGCAGAAGCGGTGATGCTGGGGCAGCCGATCAGCATGGTGCTTCCTGAGGTGGTTGGCTACAAGCTGCTGGGAAACCCTCAGCCCCTGGTGACATCCACCGACATCGTGCTCACCATCACCAAGGTAAGGGACGTCTCTGCTGTTCTGCCGGTGCTGCAAGAGGCTGTGCACAGTCTGTGGAACAGGGCTGCTGTGCTTTGTGTTTAGGAGCCCTGTGTGTGCGTCCATGTAGTAATTTTGGACTTTCTTTTTTTAAAATCAGCTGCCCAGCAACAATAGCAAATTTGCCAGGCAAATCTGTTTCCCAAAAGTCAGACAAAATAGAACAGAGAGCTGATATCTCATGGCCTGTTCAAATTTCTCATGTGCAGACCTATTGTGGAACAACAGTGCTTGTAAAAGGATCTGCTTTCTCTGCCACCTCAAAAGAAGCACAATAACTTCATTTTTTGAAGTCCTTGCTTAAAAGAAGGCAATGTAAAACCTGAAAACAGACAGTAAGCATTGCAGTCTGATTTCTTTGATCTGCATGTGTTTGGCTGAAATGTTCATTACATGTTTGTTTCAATCTGTGGATTATGACTGAATTAAGAGTATTACTGGGCCATCGTTAATGTTGTTGGAGCTCAGAAATCTGATACACATGTTCATCCTGGGGTGTTGTCTCTAGAAGGAACTTCCAAATGGGGAAAGCTTATGTTTTTTTTTTTTTAAGTTCATCTAGATGTGTGTGTTCAGTCATTTACGATTTGATTCATATGCTTGTGCAGTTGGTTCTTCCTGTTTCTCCATCTTTCTGGGTTTCCTAGCTGAAGACCCTACACTATTCTCCTCCCTGTAGAAAATTATGTGGAGAAAAATACAGTTGTTTAAAGATAGACTCTAGTTTAAATGAGAGGAAGAACAAGTTTAGAAGGAATACATCCCTGTGTTATACTTAATCATTCAAGCATTACGTCTCTGTGTCCTTGTCTTTGGGATTTCATATACCAAATCTCCTTGGTTTCAAATGGCTACAGAAACCTTTAAAAAAGGTTTCTCTGAAGTCAAAAGCTGGATTTTATAATGTATGTGCTTACATCATTTGACACCTAGAAATGACACAGGCGCTGTATTTTTCTAACAGCACCTTCGCCAAGTTGGAGTCGTGGGTAAATTCGTGGAGTTTTTTGGTCCTGGTGTAGCCCAGCTGTCAATCGCTGACCGAGCCACCATTGCCAACATGTGTCCCGAGTACGGAGCCACAGCTGCCTATTTCCCAGTGGACGATATTAGCATTGGGTACCTCTTACAAACTGGTGAGTGTCAGAAGAGATTGTGGGCTAAAGAAGTAAATTAAGCAAGGACACCAGGTGTAGTCAGCAATGGGGTTGAATCAAGTGGAGCCTTCTGAGCTGTAATGTTTTTTCTTTTTTAAACTGTATTCACTTACTCATGTTGTTTCTTGCTCTTTGGGTCCATATTTAGGAAGATCCAATTTTCAGACAGTTTCACAGTTAAGTGCCTGCTTAGCTCTGTGGGACCTAGCTTGTCCAGATGGCAGGAGAAGGAACTTCAGTTTTTGTTCTGCAAAAGGCACTAAGTCTGCTCAGTTGCTTTGTGAGTCTCTAATATTTGTGCTGAAAGGATCTCATAGTGCAGGGTACAGAGTGAGCACTGAAATAGCCCGTTAGGTGTTTTTTACTTTTCCTGGCACAGTAGTTCCTCGGTTTCATTTGTGTTTCGATATATTTGATTTTCACCTTAGGCCGTGATAAAGAAAAAGTAACGTGTACCAAAAAGTATCTTGAGGTTGTGGGAATGCTAAGAGATTTCAAGAACTCCTCTCAGGATCCAGACTTCACACAGGTTAGAAACTACTCTGTCTTCTGGCTCTTTGTTTTATGCCCTGCCCTACTTTAGAGTGACAATTGTCTATTTTTCACAGAAATAACAAATAGTCAAGGGCCTCCTTATCCTTTGTATTGCTCCACACAGCTGTCGTAACTAATGGCCCAGTGGGATGAGGTGGCTGCTCTCCAGGTGTGAACATTTGGACATAGGTGTCGGTTGGCTCTCAGCTGAGCTGTAGCTGGTGCAGATTCTGCAGTTTGATCCGTGCAGTTTTGAGAAGCCCAGTCTAGGCTGGACTAGCCATAAAGATAGCCTGGATGTTGGCTGTGCCAGCTTTGTCCCAGTTTTACCCTTCTGTTCAGCAGCTCATTTTACTGTGTGAGTCAAGACACTTAAAAGCTCTGTGTGGTAACCACACACCACACAAGCTGTTTTCTGTGCAGGAAAACAAAGATTTTACTCTGTATTGGGAAACTCAAGAATATTCCTGGTTTTCTCTACAGTAAGGATTTATCTTGTAACTTATGTTCAAGTTTGCATGATGGTTCAAAAACCTTAGTAAATGCAGAAAGATACAGCACACTATAAAACCAAAGTTGAAACATGGGTGAGGAACAGGAAAATATGATAATCTCTGTTGTATAATAGACTGGATGTTTTCCCCAAGGCCAAGGTGAATAACTCTGCTTTGGTCTATGCCAGTACCAGGATTTCTCATGTAATTGTTCTCTGAAGAAGACCCTGTTACTAGCATGTGAGAAGACATAATTCTCAAAAACATCTGTACTGTTTGGAAGCTTTAGTCATATGTTGGGTTTTCAGTCACTGCAGTACCTCTGAGAGCCAGACCTCGGAGCTGACAGGGTCTGAAATCAGAACTGTTCTTTTTCTTCTGATCTTTACCTTCTTGTATGTCTTTGATAATTTCTGCAAACAAGCATAAAGACTTAGCTTTGGTTCAGGAGCAGAAGTAAGCATACTTGTGGCTAAATGACCTTCAACCTGTCATGCAGTGCTGACCTCTCACTGTTCTTTAACAGGTTGTTGAGCTGGATCTCCACACTGTTGTGCCTTGCTGCAGTGGACCAAAAAGACCTCAGGACAAAGTTGCTGTGTCAGATATGAAGAAGGACTTTGAGACTTGTCTGGGAGCCAAGGTAGGGACCAGGAACATTTGGGCACACGAACTAATGTGTGCTTCTAAAAGTTATCTGGTGTTCAGGAGCTACAATCTAGGGTTAACTTGTGCGGTTTTTATTTGCCTGTTGAAAAGAAAATTAAGACGTTTGAATGCAGTTTAGAAGGTGATTTCAGCAGTGAGTAGTTTAAAATTGGGATGATGCTTCTCACATGAAGGTGTTCACATCCTGTTGAAGTAGTTGTTCTTTCTGATTTTTGGATCGGTCTAGGCCTGACATGGTTTCAACGGTCACCTGCAATTTCTGAGCTGGCCACGGTAGGTGTTGTTACGAGTTGACCAGGCAGCTCCTACACTGAGGTCTGTGCTAACCACCCAGCTCTCCAGCTTTCCAAGCAGGTGATGCTCTGAGCTGCACAAGGTGGTTTTGCATTCAGAACTACATGTGTCTCCAAGATTCTTTGATGTTGGCAGTGAGAGCAGGAAGAAAAAAATACTTCTGTCTCTATCATCCAGTCAAAAGTGGCCATTGAAAGAAGAGCAAGATTTTTATTTCGATTTATAGGTCCAGACACTTAAGTTTCCAAAATCAATGTGAATTTTTACGAGATACAGTAGCTGCCCTTGTTAAAAGGCAGAACTCTATAGTGATATGAAGCAAGAAACTTCAACTATAGCAGTTCTTAATAATTCTTGTCTTGTTACATGTTCCAGACTCCACTAAATGACCTTATACTTTCAGATCTGTAAGCTTAATTTTTCATAGTGTGCTCAGTGCCTTCTTGCTCCTTTGTTTTCAGTTGTTATGCTTCTGCCTCTCAAGTCAGCTCTTAGTATTAAGAGTGAACTGTTCGATATTCATTGCTTAAAAGTCTTACATGTTACGGCTAAATTCTTGAGACTAGATTGTGTAACAACTGTAAGTGGTCAGAAGTCTGGAGCATGTGGGAGCAAGAAGTGTCTGAGCAATCTGAAGAGGGATATATTCGTGCAGGAAGAAAACACAAATACATTTTTGTACAAAGACTGCCTCTTTTATCAGTAAACAGAGACTAGCATAGACTCCAGAAAAAAAATTTTTGTCTATCACATTGACCTTCGCCTCTGGACCTAAATGTGCAAGCACAGATGTGACTGAGAGATGCTTCTCATTCATGACTTTCCCAGCCCATACTGATTTCCAGTCAAAGAATTTATGTTAACCACATCCATTTGATTCTTACTTTCTCCTCTTACAGCAAGGATTCAAGGGATTCCAAATTGCTCCAGACCGACACAACAGCACAGTCAAATTTACTTTTGAGGGCTGTGACTTCGAACTTTCTCACGGTTCAGTAGTGATTGCTGCCATTACAAGCTGCACAAACACCAGTAACCCCTCAGTGATGTTAGGAGCAGGTAAGGTCATTAGCTTCATATGCAGTAGTTTCTCTGTGTTTCTGGCTGTGTGTCCGAAAAACAAGTGCAACACTGATGTGGTTCTGCACGCACAGTGCTGGGTTTGTCATTTGAAGCACAAAACCTGAGCTTACTCACTAAGGGTAGCAGAAAGAATTCTGGAAACAGTAGGGAGACTTGTGGATTAAGAAAATGCATTTTTTTTCCTGCACAGTCTTCTCTACAGAGCAAGCTGGAACTGAATTAACCAGCACCTCTGACACTTGTTCAAGTGCACGAAAGCTGTTATACAGAGCTAAGAAGAGGCTGTCAAAAGTCTTAAATAACTCTGTACAGTAACACTGCTGTTGGCTCACTGTGCCATTTCATTGCTGGAAATGGACCCTTTTCTGTTTTCCAGTGATTTAATGATGTTTCTGTTAACATGTTGATCCACCAAACTGTCCCACTTCATGGAAAACCTGCAACTGTCCTTTGTATTTTTCAGGACTGCTTGCTAAGAAAGCTGTCGAAGCTGGTTTGGCAGTGAAGCCGTACATTAAAACAAGCCTGTCCCCAGGCAGCGGGGTTGTCACTTACTATCTGAGGGAGAGTGGAGTTATGAGCTACCTTTCCCAACTAGGGTAAGGGTGCTTTTGTCCTGTGACTGCTTAACTGAAGGCAGTGACAAGAAGTGATGCAATAGAACAACTATTTCTCTGTACAGTTTAAAAGATACGGGGGAGGTATCTTGGGGAATGATCCTGCCTGGGGTAACGCACTGCGGCTGTGCCGACTTTGTGCCCACGAGGGTGAAAGCCTTTTGCCTGCTGTAGCTTCTTGAAGACATGTGTTCTTAAGCAGGAAAATGATCTGTTTTTCAAGAGCAATGCTTTTTAAATAACATAAATGACACAGCAAGATATTGTTCGTCTTGCTATATAACACATTTTGCCGATCCTCATTCTGTGTGTATGGACAGTCTCTGCAATGATAAAAATTGAGCATTCTCAAAAATGCTATTCTCAGCACCAATTTGTTTGTTAAAACAGTGCATCTTCTGAAAGTAACCCTAGCCCAGTGCTAAGGGGATAAATATCTTGTTCCAAAATAGCTCTTTGCTCACTGGTTATTTCTGTGCTCTGCCTAGGTTCGATGTGGTGGGTTACGGCTGTATGACCTGTATTGGCAATAGTGGGCCACTGCCAGAGCCCGTGGTTGAGGCCATTACACAGGTACGTGGCTTTCCTGTGCAGGTTATTTAGGTAAGCTGTTCTTTGTTGTATTCTGTCTGAGCTGTGTTCTACTGTGCACTGACTTTTGTCTGCTGTGCATGAAGGAAATTCAGTCTGTGTTCTCTTTTCTGCACAAAGTGCTTTGGGATTGTTTGGAAGGAGACGGTTCTGTGACTGTCCAGTCGTTGATGTTGCAGCACGGAGCAGCTCTGCAGACCTGCGGGGTGTGTGGGGGCTGCAGGAACTTCAGCTGCCTTTGTCTCTGACTCTCTCTTACAGGGAGACCTGGTGGCAGTGGGTGTGTTGTCTGGCAACAGGAATTTTGAAGGGCGTGTCCATCCCAACACCCGAGCTAACTACCTCGCCTCCCCACCGCTGGTGATCGCCTACGCCATTGCAGGGACTGTCCGGATTGACTTTGAGAAAGAGCCTTTGGGTAAGACAGCGTCAGGACACTTCTCTGCACAGTTTATAGACTGAACTGGTTGGAATTAAGCTCTTCAGAAACATTTGCCCTGGGGAGATGTGACTGAGTACCTCTGGGATGCAAAGCATGTAATTGTTAAGAGACAAAGCAGCAAGAAGGCTGCAGAGTGAGGAAAGGGGGAAGCCAGAGCTGACCAGTGTTGTAATTCCACAGGGGCATTGCTTTGGTTATGTCTAGGTCACAGCCTCACCTGTCCTACTGAAGTTTCTTTGTGCACAACCCTCAAAGATCCTTTCCAGCCGAAATTATTCTATAAATTATTTTGGAAGGCCATTGGAAATCACAAAAGGAGGCACACATACAGTCATCATTATGTTTGAGGCCCTCTTTTGTCAGACCCTTCCAGGCAAAATAAAACATCCCATGAGTGCTGACGAGGTTAGAAGGGATGCATAACCAAAGAACACTACGGGAAACTTTTTCGTGTCATGTTAATGGAAAATTTACGCAACAAACATAACAGTGCCATTTTCTACAGGAATAAATGCTTCGGGGAAGAAGGTTTTCCTGAAAGATATCTGGCCAACGAGAAGTGAGATTCAGGCCGTTGAGCGTCAATTTGTTATTCCAGGGATGTTCAAGGAAGTCTACCAAAAAATAGAGGTGATTTAATCCCTTGGGCAGTAGCTTAGTTGATGCACTTTCCTGTTCTGAAGATGGTCAATAAGCTGGTGTTGATAATGAAACAAACCCTTTCTTTCTGTTGCTGCTGCTTGTGTTTGGATAAGTATTCAAATGACATTTTATTATTTATTTTTTTAAAAAATGCCTTCCAGTTAACTAATTAGTTCCTACAGACAGCCATATCCTGAAAATTGCTCCCTAATGTTTTTTTTTTAATGTAACATATAAAACGATGTGTCTGAAACAGTCATCCTAGGCTGACAGTAGAAGATGAGATTTTCCATTTTCAGAGATGTTTAGTGTTTTTCAGCTGACATAAAATACATCTGCATTACCTAGTAGCATTCACATCAGAAAAAAGACTTGTACTTGGTAATGTCTTCCTGCAAGGCTTTCTCAGGTGTTGAAACAAAGGTTTCTTAAAGTTTACATGTTAGGAGAGCTTCTTAAGAGTACTGATAAATAGATTGGAAAATTATAAAGTGTTTTCTGTGTACACGAAAAATCTTATTGTCAGAAAACTGGATGAGAAGCTTTTCTTTTGCAGTGAAATGAAGGTTTTACTTGCTATTAATAGATATAATTGTTTAAAGAAAAACCCATAATGTATGTTGTCATAAAAATTTCCAAAGTGCTTCAAGAAATACACAAGGGTTTTGCTGATTTGTGAGTCTACCTGGATTCTGAAGTAATTGCACTGCTTCTGAAAACTTGAAAATGAATGGGGTGGTTTTGTATGTTTTTCAGACAGTAAATAAGTCTTGGAATGCCTTAGATGCTCCTTCTGACAAACTGTACACCTGGAACCCCAAATCGACTTACATCAAGTCTCCTCCTTTCTTTGATGGTCTGGTACGTGCTTGTAAGGATTCCCTGCCACTTCAGGGCTTTTGAAAAATCTCACTTGCCTTTTACACTGAAATACTTTCAAATAGTCACGAAGCACGTGAGGGAAAAGGACAGGAAACAAAATCTACAATTCTGCCTGCCTGCATTTGGCACCAAATAGCTCAGTGTTCAGATTGCTGTTTCGTTACTGTTTACAAGAAAATGCAGTTTTCAATGCGTGCAGATATCTAGGAATCCTGGATTTTCATCTGCATTCATGCATGTACCACGGGAAGCCTCAGCTCATTTTTTTGCCTCATCTGTTTCTTCATACATGAACTTCCTGACAGCCAGCCAGAACATCCTATTTTGTTAAAAAGCATAAATATTTTTAATAGTGTTATTTTTTTCTTTCTGCTAAACTGCTTAAAAAGGGAGACTTTGTTTTGCAATTTGCACCTTTGAGAAAGGTAAAGGATTTCTGTGCCGTATTTTAATAATTTTGTATTTTTGACGATTTAGACTTTGGCTCTTCAGACCCCCAAAACAATAAAAGATGCTTATGTTCTGCTGAGTTTTGGAGATTCTGTGACAACTGACCACATATCTCCAGCTGGGAACATTGCAAGAAACAGCCCTGCAGCCCGTTACTTGACCAGCAGAGGGTAAGCACTGTGTCTTGTTCTTGTTGCAAATTGGGAAGAGGAAATAAGTCACAACTACTGCACTGTGTTACAGGCACGGATACCAGCTGTCTGTTCACCTTGGCAGAGGCCTGGAGAATATATAAAGGAAGAAAAAAACCCACATTTCTTTCACTGCTGTTCCAGCAGCTCTCACCAAGTGTAAGAATTGCACCAGGTGTGCATATCTGCTGCACTGAGGAGCTGCAGACCTTTGTTTGTAGAAGGGGAAGAGGGTAACTTCCAGGCTGGTTTTTGCAGTAAGTCTGTTCATAAATAAGGGGATCAGGATTTGTTTCCCTATCAAAGCAAAACAATCGTGGTCCTTAATGCCAGAAATTGACTTTATGCTCACTGCTCCCAGCACATGCAGCTATTTCATATGTCTAGGCAGTCAGGAGCTGCAGAACATTCAGAAGTTTAGGTTCCAGTACAGCTGGAAAAACTGACAAAATACTGTGGTTGGAGCCCAAACTGCTGTAAAATGTTGGTCCTTTTCTATGGGCAGCATGACTAGGACTTGCTGAGTTGGCCTATTCAGTCTTCACAGATCATATAATACGTTTATTGTCTGTTTTAGCACTTCTTACAACTTCAGTGGTGTTTTGAAGAACAGCACTGACAGTATAAAAAAAGAAATAAATCACTAGACGTAATAATTCTATAGAGGAAATTTATTAAACAGTGGGATCTACTGCAGACCAACTGCTCTGGACTTCCTGGCCCTCTGCTATCAGTTACTCTGAAATGTTGTGTGTGCAGGGCTATTTAGAACACAGATCTTGTGTGTCACAGCTGCTGTTTGGATGTAGCCCAATGCAAACAGTCCGATTTTTTGTCGCATTCCATCACGTGGTTTGTTTGTGGTTAGGCTGCGGTGTCCCCTTATTGCCATATCTCTGTTTGCAAATGAACTTTGTCTTCTGTAATTCTCACTTACAGCAGGGTCTCTCTCTGCCTTCTGGACTTTTAGCACAGTGCAGTCTCTACCTTTGCTCTAGATGCTCTGGCAATATAAATAACCAGGAGGATTTTCAGTGGCCAGCTGTTAGGAATAGCATTGCATCTTCTGACTGTATGAACGAAATCCTTGCTTCAGTATCAGGTACTGTTTTCTAGGGCAGGGGATGAGAATACTACAGAAGATGCTTTCTGTCACCAAGCTGTAGGCAGACATCATAGAATGATAGAATGGCCTAGGCTGGAAGGGACCTTAGAGATCATTTTAATCCAGCCTCCCTGCCGCCAGGGATGCCACGTCTCGACTCGATCTATTTTTTTAAATTTATTTTTCCCATTTAAAAAGATCTTAAAAGCAGAAGTATCAGGTAGCTGAGTGCTGCCTTAAAACACCAGTTCCTTACTTTCTTCTTCTAAAGCACGAGTGCTTCAGTCTAAAAACAACATCGCTTTCCTTTTTCACTTTGTTTTCTTTTCCCTTAATAGCTTGACTCCTCGAGAGTTCAATTCTTACGGCTCCCGCAGAGGGAACGATGCCGTCATGGCCAGAGGAACATTTGCAAACATTCGCTTGGTGAACAAATTTATTGATAAACAAGGACCTCAGACTGTCCATTTCCCCTCTGGGGAAACTGTAAGTACACCTGCTGCTCTAAACTGAGGCTGAGAGTGGGTTGGGTTAATACTGGCTTTGCTCCTTACAGCTTAAGTAAGGAGGAAAGTCATTTACTTAGGTGCCTTTTAAGTGAAGCTCATGAGGGGACAGGAGCAGTGCTGACCTAGCAGTAGAGAACAGAAGCAGGTAGAAGCAGTAGGGGAAGGTGCAGCTTTGTGCTGGGTGCAGGATCAGACCAGAAGCCACCAAGCCGTGTGTGGTTAAAACCTTCTGAAGATGGGACATGTGGCAGTGTGGGCTCAAGTCTTCATGAGGGGACACGCATTCTTTTTTCCCCTGGACCTGCACATCCACCTCCAAAAAGCGTGTAAAATGTTTGGCATTTTCCTTCCAGCTGGACGTGTTTGACGCTGCAGAAAGATACAAACAGGCTGGTCATCCTCTGATTGTGCTGGCTGGGAAGGAGTACGGTGCAGGAAGTTCCAGGGACTGGGCAGCTAAAGGACCGTTCCTCTTGGTGAGTGACCACAGTAAAGTAGAGGGAGGACAGGGCTTAAAAATGCATTATTTTGGCAGGAAGACTAGCTCTAGCCAACATCCTGGGCAGCTCATTCTCAGTTTTGATAGCAAGAGCTGTTTTGAAATATCAGCTGCCTGTAAGAGCCACAGCAGAGTTGCAAAAGCTGTTTTAAATATTAATAGATCCTCTTCAGACTGGAAGCCTTGACTGATCTTCAGCTAGAAGTTCACAAGGCTGCATCAGAAAGGCAAACTTCTTTGCTTCTGCTTCCCATCAGCCAGCGGACTGTGGTTCTGTTCCAGCCTATTCCTTCAGCTCCCTTAGCAGGGAAGTCAGAAAGTGTGAGACAAGTGGCATCAGTGAAAATGAAGCTCAGCAGGACCTCACCATGCAGATTGCAGGGGTGCTGTAGGAGCCTAACGCCTAACAAAAATCCACGTACAGTGAAATACCTGTTCTGTTCTTTGTCTGTCCTGTCCTACACTATTTACTAGCCTGAACTCTGATTCCAGCTTACTTGGTGTGGAATATATGAAGACGATAGCATATGAGTTTTTTAAAGTTTTAGGAGAGTTGTGTTTAAGATTAGGTTCATCTAAGGTTTTCACAGAATCACAGAATGTTAGGGCTTGGAAGGGACCTCTGGAGGTCACCCAGTCCAGCCCCTGCCAGAGCAGGGTCACCCAGAGCAGGTCACACAGGAACGCGTCCAGGCGGGGTTTGGAAGTCTCCAGAGCAGGAGACAGTTTTGGCAGCTTGTTTTCCAATGGCGATTTTTGTTTTTGTCTAAATTGTATTAACATGTAAAGATTTAGATACTAATTAAATGGTGGTGTTCTGAGGGGACCACAGACCCACCAATTTCATTCCTGTGAGCACAGAAGGACCACCCTGGGCCATGAAGATAACTGTACCTGTCGTGTGTTTCACAGGGTGTCAAGGCTGTTCTTGCTGAAAGCTATGAGAGAATCCATCGAAGCAACCTGGTTGGGATGGGAGTGATTCCTCTGCAGTATTTGCCTGGAGAGGATGCCGGGACTTTAGGACTCACTGGACGGGAGCGTTACACGATTGTCATTCCCGAAAAACTGAAACCGCAGATGAACATCCAGATTAAGGTATGAGACACCCAAGGTCTGAATTTTCTTCATTACTGCAATTGCTCTCAAAATTAACTGTCTCTTCAACGAACATGCTTTCATATGGCAGTAAGCCTCTCATCTGAAGAAGGGAGAGGAATCAAGATGAAGGGGATGAAAACTGTCATTTTAATAGGGTTTTGCTGTGACGGGATATAAAAGCAGCCTGCCCAAACTGTTTTATTTAGCACAAAGCAGTCCTGTATTTCAGACCAGTCTTTCAAAGTCCACTAGAAATTTTTGTCTCGGTTAAATGTTTGAAGCACAGTACAAAGTGAACTGTGGATATTCAAATTATTTAACTGACTAATTTAAATGAGTTTAAAATAAGTTATTGACAATTCAGCTGACAGAATAATGTCTACTGCAGCATTCACAGTGAAGTTTAAGAATGCCCAACATGAAGTCTGGTTAAACTTCAGATCTTGTGTTTGAAAGACTGCTTTTCCAAACCAATGCCCTTTTTTGAAATATGTTAGCATCTGCAATAGAAATTAGGTTTATTCTTGACTGGAATATCTGTAAAACTGACTGACTTTACCTATTAGCATCAAAATCTGGTTTTTTTTCACAGCGGTTAGCAGAGTAATCTATGTGTTGCATGTTTGTTTAATGGAGGTGCTCTCTCTGCATTAGTTTCTAACAACAGTTGCTTGCACATGTCATTAACTGCTCTGAAATGGAGAAAGTAAAGGTCTGAAAGAGTCAGCTTGTCAGTCACAGATGAACATGGTGCATTTGTGTGGAAGTACCTGGCTGAGGGAGTCTTCAGTAAAACACAACATTTTTATTCACTTAATGCACAAGTCCTTGTGCTTTTCTGATTCCCAAACAGTCGGCCTCAAGGGAGGCTAGTGAAATTAGTGTTGCTGTTGTACCTGAGCCAGAAGAACGACCACATAGCAGAACATCAGGAGTTAGTGTAACCGCTGGGAAGGATGGTCAGCTCTCATGCCTCTAGGCTTGTGTCAGCAATATATCTAAACGAGGCAGCAAATGCAAAGCAAGGAGACTCCAGACTGTGTTTAATGTGGTTTAGTTCAAACCAGTCTTCAGCAGCTGGTGGTCACCCACTGTGAAAAGAAATGCAGATGTCCAGTGCCTGTTCACTTTAGTTTTCTATCATCATTTCATAAGATGGCAAAACTGTCATAATACTCCTTATTTTACTGTGATGTCATGTAACGTGTGGGAGGTTCTGCTGCTTCAATGACTTTCTTTGTCCCCAACAGCTGGATACTGGGAAAACCTTTCAAGCCATCATGAGGTTTGACACTGATGTGGAGCTCACGTACTTCCACAATGGCGGCATTCTGAACTACATGATCCGAAAAATGGCATCCTAGTCAAAAACATCAAGCAAAAATACCCAGGTACAAGCCTCCTTCTGGTGAATGCGCTAAAACTATGGTAATCACAAATTTGAAAGCGTGAACCATGAAGTGAACGTGGTTTTTTGTTTTGGTTTGTTTTTTTTTCACGGATTGTATTAGAAGGCTTGTTTACAATGCTGAATTATTCCGTGTATCAGGAAACTGGACACGCTTGCCCAATTAAAGTTAAACAGCATTTATTATTTGTTTTGTATGGTGATTGGCTTGAGTTATGTTAGAATGCAGTGCAAAAGTCACTAAGATACTGCTGGAATCTGTGTGTGGAACTGTTGGAGATCATGTGCTGATTTCATATATTTGGTCCATTTAGTTTGCCTCTGAAGTTATTTTATGCTCATACCAGTGGTCCAAAAATTAACTGACACTATAAACAAATATTTCTCTTTCTTCCTGATTATCTGATATTGACTTGCTTTCTTATTCAGTTGACCAGAATCTGAATCTAATACTGAACATAATTATTTAGCTTTCTTATTAATTTTCAAAAATGTGAACTTTGTTTTTTTCAATCCAAGCCTTTGTTGAAAGGTGGACCTATTGGGGATAGTATTTCTAATGCATAAAATTAAATTTATTTTCAAGAAGTTTTGTGTTCTTTGTCATGTTGTCCTGAGTACCAAGACGCAGAACAAAGCTTTGACTGCAAACTCTTTTCATTGGTCCATGTAGGAGCAGAGTCATGTAAGTCTTGACTTACCATGTTTTAGTTTCTATTCTTTGAATGGCCTGCACAAGACAGGATGAACATAACTGCTGCTAAATACTGGCAGTCTTCTGTCACCCAGCAGAATGCTGCTGTGATGGACTTTCCTTCATTCAGTGTCCTCAGGGGGACAATTACCACAATTTCAGGATCCTTGTCAGTGATTTTTATGGCAGTTAGAACCTGTGATCACACCAGCATATTAATTGAACTCAGGAACGACCTGATCCACAACACCACATGAATCTACTTACAGTGGTAACAAATATCCTTTTACTCAAAGATGAACAGGGTTATAATATTAATTCTCACTCTTAAGTGTATTCAGAGTGACTGCCACAAGAATTAACAGAATGGAGAAATGTTTTCTAAGTAATCTCCTTATGTATTTTTCGTGCAGTCGGCTCCATCTGTATCTGGAAGTGAAGACAGTGCTTCAGTGAAAGCAGTGCCTAAAGTGTCAGTCTGCATAAGCCACGTTGTCTGCCTGGAGGTGCAGTCCAACAGGAGCTTCCCGGTAGCAAACATGATTCTGATTCACTCATCAATGCCTGAAGGTCTGGCCTGGCAGTGAAAATTTGATGTTTAGTTACTCATTCAACATGAGTTTCTTTTTTTCAGATCAACTTCCTCATAGCAGGAAGGATTAAGATCGAGATGCTGAGGCACATGTTTGTCATTCATGTTTATATTCAAACTCCTAGTGAAACATTTAATTAGGTGGCAAGTCTTTTTTTTAGTCGCCATGCCAGCCTTTTTTATTGTAGCCAGATGCTGAGGGGACTAGAGTATCAGGCACCATATTACACACTGGAATAGATCATCCACTATTTCAGCTTACTGCAGTAGGGTGATACATGCATGAAAATGGTGAGTTCAGCTGGATGTTTCTTCATCGTCAAAATTCTTCAAATAAAAATTAATATCTTTCCATTTCGTAAAATCCATTGGTGTCCCAGTTTCAGCATCCTCTACTACAAAGCTTTTGATTTTGATCACTGGTAGGTTGTCAAATGTCTTGTACTTCACTATGATTCCCCAGTCATGCTGGCAGCTGGTACCTCGGCAATGCATCTTGCTTTTTTTCACAAAACAATCAAACTGGACTGGTCTGCTGTGAGCCTTTGTTACATATCGCTCCTTGAATGCGTCTCCCAGGACAGTGTGATGAGATTCCTGCAACAACACACATGCCAGGAGTGCTTAGTGGTACAAACACACCATTCGTCTTTTTTTCCCCTGCCCCTCACAAACACAATTTCCCTGACCAGGTGCTTTGTGCCGCTCAGGAAGAACCCTGAGCCCACTTGGCTCATCACTTGTTTTTCTCCCATTCATTAAATAGCAGGCCTGGGCTTATCAAAACCAAGGTATCACCAGTCATCAACATTTTCATATTCAAACTTACTAGCTTCTCTGAAAAACAGAGTCTACAGTATTTGAGCCTGAGCAATCTGTACAATATGAGAAACTCCTGCTTCCCACTCATTTTAAATACACAAGCCCAGCTTTCTACAAGGGTGATGCCATTACTTTGTAGTGGTAGAAACAGCAACCCTAACAAGGTAAAGGAGTTGCAGTTCTTTGTAATATGTATAGTGAAAGGTTTTAAAAATCAGCAATTCAGAAGCATATGGACAATTTGAACTGGAGCCTGAAAATGCTATTTCCTCCTGGACTTGCAACTTTTATTAAAGATGTAGGCTGAACTATCACAGAACTCAGTTTGCAGGGATTATTTAAAATATTATGAGCGTTTTTTTGCAGAGTACTATGCAGAAACTTTTTAAAGAGCTTTCTGAACTCTTGGGTCTGCTTGCACACGTACAGGCAATAGCCAACAGCAGAAAATTGATTTAACAGTCAGAGGTTCGTGTTCGATATCCCTTGTTATCGGGATGACTTCCAATCTCAGGCTAATGTGAAAATAAATAGCCACTGGTTACACTGTGAGTTCTGTCATTGAAGATGACATAGATTTCCACAAAACTCATCCATTTCTGGCAGGAAAAAAAATAGAAACTGAAGTGATTCCCATTGTATCACACCGTGCACATCATCAACTACATCATCACATGCTATAGAAGTGAGGACAGCTGGTCCTGTGTTTTACTGATGTTCTCGAGACTTTTTTTCTGGTCTAGGTTACACAAAATAGCCAACTGTCCACACCAATAAACAACGCCATTAGTTCAACAATGCTGCCTTCCCTGGTGTTCATGGATGCAGATTTCCTCACAGAGACATACCTTTATAATTCTGATGTCATCCGTGCTGCAGGCATAGGCTTTGCATTTTCCACACAGAAGGTTTTTTTTCCCTTCCACCAGCTGATGTCGTGTGTCTTTCTTCCTGGAATCTCGTAACACCTTTTCCTTCATTTGTAGGTCATGTATCTTGAGTAGATAAATAACAACCGAGATCATTATGAAATTAAAATAAGCCCCAATGTCTGTCTCAGTGTGACTTAGGGTATGTAACATTTAGGAGCCTATTACTTAAAAGCAAACAAACGAATATGCTTTGTTCTAGCAGCAGATAGCAGGCTTTGCCTGAAGCAGAGATGAACTGTTCAAAAGTCACCAGCAGAAGCAGAAGAGAAAACCCAGATGTCATCCTGTTAATGTCCCAGGAAACGGTTTCTTGAAATCTCTCAAAAAACCCTGCTCTGAAATCAGCAAGCACTTGGCATGACAACTTTAGAAAAGCAGGAAAAAAGCCTGCAGGAAGGATAAAGTGCTTCTCAATATGAGTATGGAAATGGATGGACATATTATCACCATCTGCCTAGTTCCCATCTCCCTGTCCACTGTCCTAAGCAGACACAGCAATATTTTTCTACCCATGGACAGAGCAGTTTATAATCTACCTCAACTTCTAAATTTTTTTAGAGTTACAACACAGAACATTCTGCAAGCTGGCAGCACACACTATCACTTCTCTGCTGATCATGCCTTGGTCTCAAACGAAGCACAGTGACCCCCTTTCCTCAGGTTATCCCTTGGCAGAGCCCTGGTAGATGAAGGCCAACAGAGAACATGCCTGTAGATTTGCCTATGAAAATCCCCCAGAGGTACAAACCTTTCTGGCAAATGTTTTTTCATCCCAAGTCTGGAGGTTTTCAATAGCTTCATTCATCATTTCTTCCTTGTAACGGTTGTGCTTCTCACTCTCAACCACTTCTGTTTTGCTTGTCACCAGGATGCACTTGCTGTCTTTTGCCCTTCCACGACCTATAGAGCAACACATTTAATCCTCTTTAGTTGCATTTAACAAGATGTGCAAAAGAGGCAGCTCTGCTGTAACAGAGCATTAAGGACCTTTGTGTGGTTGCTTCTGTTTCCTAAGGTCAGATTCAGAAATGCTGCTTCTCAAGAGCATCCTCTCTGCTCACTCTTACTCAATCACAAACCACAACAAGATCCCCCTTTTGAGGTGTCCTCATGGATATCCTCCAGCCAGAACTGTTCTGCCTGCTGATGTGGCCTGACTCAGTCAAGCTCAGGCAGGCTGGACACTTCAGTTATTATACAGCATCTTGCAGGCTTCTTGTGGCAAAATAAAAGCTGGAGGAGAAAAGTTCATCTTAGTCTTACTGGTTTTCTGTCGTGCTAATTGATGTCTATTAAAAAGAATATATCATAAAAAACCCCACACCTGAGGAACTGGAAATACAGTGGTGGCAAAATGAGGCAGCAATAGCAAGTGTTCTCTGTGTCGTCGGTCTGTACCTACTGCCTGCCCGCTTTGTGCTGCTGTGACACGAGCAAACTAAGAACTACAGGGATCGCATACCACTTCAGAAGTATTTGACTTAGAAAAAGTGTCCACATTTGCTTTTGAGCGCTCATTCCCCCGAAGTTATGATTTTATGTGGTTTAAAAATGATGCAGCCTATTTTCTTTGCATATTTAGTGCCTCATTAAGAATAAATACTATGCTTGCACCCACAAACCTGAATTCTGGGTCAATTATTTCATTATAAGACAAAAATAAGAAAACCACAGGATGCAAACATGGAAAGCAGAGGACTAAGCACAATGGAGATGACCTGATGTCAAATTAGAAAGTGAACTGCTTGGGATGAAACACTGCAGATGCACCCCCGAAAGATGCAGGTAGTTTTACCACCTTTAGGAATGTTAAAGAGAAAACACTATTTAGCGTGGCTCTTCACTTCCCTCTACTGGCCCTATTGTAAAATCACTGAGATTCAAGGCTGGAGTCTTGACAGACTTTAGACAAGCCAAGACAGAAATAGCTTTTTCTTTTTTTAAAATTTTTTTTGTGTGTTTTGTCTTGGACGTTAGAGGTCTGTACATGCTGAGGCTTCAGGTACCCATGAGCAGC